ATCTTTGTTTTCTTGATATTGAGCTTCAATCCATACTGAAGACGGCAATCCCTGATCTTCCACAGCAAGTGCTTCAGGTCCTCCTCAGTTTGAGCAAGCAGAGTTGTGTCATCTGGATAACCTTTTACTCACCCCAAGAGAACTCTGTGCCCATCAGTAGCCACTCTCCCCTTCCCCAGGCTCTTTTGTCGTTACTGTTTCTGTCACGTGCCATCAACTCCCCTCTGACTCATAAATGACCCTGTCTCCCCTCTGACCGACCCCATGGGCAGTAGAATGAAACCCTGCCCGATCCCACACTATCTTCACAATCTCACTGTCTGTGAGTCAATCGACCTCGCTGAAGCTCTTCCCCTCCCTCATTGATGCTCCACTCTTCCAGGCACGATGCCATTTTCAGGGACGGGCCCCTCTCAACAACATGCGCAAAGGATCTGAGATTAACCATTCATTACAGAGGAAACTCTAGTGGCTTAGTGGTAAGGAATTGTGCTACCAACCCAAAGGTGCTCCTTTCAAATCCATCAGCTGCTCTGCAGAGAAAAGATGGGCAATTTCCTCCTGTGCAATTTCCTGCCTCTGAAACCCCATAGCAGAGAGTTGGCTGGGGGTCAGTTCTGACTCAAAGGTACACAACATATATTATAGAGAAGATGTGCCTCATAGGATTTTCTAGGCTATAAGTAAAGGGATGCACTGCAAACCAAAGGCAGCTGGTTTGAATCTACCAGCTGCTCCTCAGGAGAAAAATGGGCCATCTCCTCCTGTGTGAGTCACAGTCTCTGAAAAGCCTCTGGAGGGTCAGCTATGCGTCAGTTCCAACTCACCCATAGTGAGCAGTCTTTACAGAGGCAGATCGCCACATTTTCGTCCCATAGGATTCCCAGCTGGGTTGCAATGAGTGTGTGACCCTTGAGCCCCCTGGGCTCTTCCCCACATTCTAAGCAGTCACTGTGGACCCACCCCTCCAGACCTTCATCTCAGTGGAATTATACACTGGACGGCCTTTTGTCTGGCTGCTCCCACGGAGTATCATGCTTTTGAGGGTCTTCCACGATGCAAGTCTTCATTTCTTTCTACGGCTGAGTAGCACCGAGCAGATGGATGAAGCACATCAGATTTGTTCATTCACCTGTTTGTGGACACTTGGGTTGTTTCTACTTGTTGGGTGTAAAGAATTATGCTGCAAGACACATGCCCCAAAGCATGAATTTTGTGTTCCCATCTCTTCTTGGCCCTGAGGGTGAAGTAAACACTTTCTGCTCTTGAGCTGGGGTCAGGGGTCTTCTGAGACCCTCTGATCTAGTTTGTGAAGGGTTAAAGAGCCCAGGCACATGCACACCCATGTTTATCCCAGTTTTGTTCACAATGGCAAGGAGTTGGAAACAACCTCAGTGCCCATCAACAAATGAATGGATAGAGAAGCTGTGATATATTC